GGGGTTGGGGCGGCCACCAGGCCTCACCCGTATGCATCACCGCCGTGCAGTTCAACCCAAGGTTTGATCCGTGGTCAGGTTACTGCACTTCATCACAATCTTCACCAACAATCAGTTTCGAATTATCGTGGAAGAAAGTGCAGTTGGAAGTTCCGACCTCGAGCAGGTCTTTGAGACCAATCTTACCCGCATAGGAAAGATGGTTGCGCTGCTCGACTCCTGGCATGAACCTGTTTACCTGTCCAGGGTCTGGACTGTGTACGAACAGTTTGTAGCCTCCAAGCTGCAGATTCCTGTGACCTTCATCATGCCGGAAGACTCTGCGATCTCATTGCGTGAAACGGTGGAACATTGGAAGACCGGCATCGCACAAATCACCGGGTCCCTACGCGCTGTTGATGCAGAGCACGCCAAAGCCTGGAAGCCGGAAGATGAGGAAAAAGTGAAGTCGCTGATTCGGCAGACGGTGGGTTTCGAGCAGGTGCACCAGCACGTGACCCAAACCATGATACGCTGGGTCAGCCAGGCTATGAAGCAACACATCCACTCGCTCGTAGAAGGGGTCCCTGATGAGAGTCCACCCGTGCCCCAGGTGATCATTTCACTCTGAAGAGAAGGCTCTGCAGTCTGATATTTAACGTCTCGCTTTAATGTACAGCAGTGGGTCTTCAATTAACTTTCAGGTTTTCCAAGTTTGTGGTGGATGCTCGCATGGAAGTCCAGGTGTTGAGAGCGGGATTGACAGTGTCTAATCTATAGTGCCAACACTGAACGACAGAGAAGGTTATGCTTCCACCTGCTATGAATGCTTTCATTTGCCTGGCCATGTTGCACATTGCGTCCCACTTACAGTTTTGTGTGCTTAGGGCAGCAGCCAAGAGAGCTGGCGCCAGTTTAAATGCTGAAGAATCAGCTGAATTCATGTGTGTCTCAGGCGGTGCATCAGCCGGGACCAAAGTCAGCGGCCTAATCCCGGAGCATGTCATGTCGTGATTTTTGAGACCTGGCACCGCTGGCACCTCTGGAACCCAGACGACGGCCAAAGTGTGCTGCAAGAAGCCAGCACTCGCAACAGCAGCCATGTCTTGCAGCATTCCGCGAACACCTGTATGCTTTGTGCTCAGGACCAGGACCCTCCTTGCACCCTTAATTGGAGGTATATGGTCCCTAATAGTAGGTACTTAGGCCCTAATAGAGGGTAGGAGGAGGGTCTAGGGAGATGCCTCATGTCCTGTTAGTGGCACTGCTCGCGCACGCGCACACATGCACTCTTTGCGAGAGTGTCCATCGCCCAGGCGACGGGGAGATACTTGTCAAGGTCAAGTCGGTCAAGGTCCAGGTGGCTCCGATCTTCACGCGCAAGATGGAGCCTTGCAGAAGATCCGTAGTTTCCATTTTCTTTTCCATTATCCCTATATACCCCCAATATTCTATAGTAGTTTCCATTTGATTTTCCATTATCCCCTATATAATGTATGATCACAGAACCCTACGACCGGGGCCTTTATACAGCATGTCGGTGTAGAGATCCTGCAAGGCTCCCGGCTGACTCTGGTGGTTTCACCAGCACCTAGCTTTATGCAGATGCTTGCTGGGCGGGGGTGCTGGCTTTTGGGTCTTCTGCAACTACGGGTACATAGGGCTTGGTTGTCATCATCGTCATTTTAGACCCTTTTGTTGCCCGGAGCGTACCCAGCTTGCCGGCTTGAAAACATTTTCGCATGCCCAGTGACGTAATGCCTGCCCCTTGGCTAAGATACATACAACGGTTGATGCGATAAGCTTCTGCATGACCTCTCATCAACATCAGTAAGTAGCAGAGTCATGGCTACGTTTGTGGATGATGAATTTCTTTGCAGCTCGCGCCGTTTACCTTTTCTGTCTTGACCAGCGGCATGCCATCTTTCAAGGCGAGCTCAGGGTACCGTCCGCATCTTCATCACACATGCGGCCGCGACCGCATGGATAGCGCATGGGTGGCTTCCTTGATGTTGCAGGGTCTCCCTGCATTGTATTTCTCCCAGTGTTTTTTTTCGCTTCGATGCTTGCGTCAGGCTCAAGATTTTCGTGACCCAAAGGAGGGTCCCCGCTTCCCTGACAAGTTGAGAGGTCTTGGAGACCTCTTAACCCTGAACGAAAGTAAGCTTTATAAGCCCTAAACCCTGCTAGCTTTCAACCCCCGCAACTCGCCACAGTGCTCTGTTTGATGGATCTTCCACGCCATGAGCGACACTTCGGTGTGCGACCTTGAAGCCCGGACTTGTTTGGACGAGGGTTTGGGGTCTCGGGATTTGGGCTTCCCGGATTGGGAACATTAGTTTGACCGAACTCCGATAGAGAAACTTCTGCTTCCTTTCCATAAATGCAAGGGAGGAAAAATTGAAATCTACCTAGAGTTGATTGGCGTCGAGTGGCTTCCAGCTTCTTTCCAACAGAACCTCATACGCAAAACGATCTGTACTCCTTTGGGGAAGTCTCCTAAGATGCACTTCTTACTGCATGACTCCAAATTTGAGATCCAGGACGTTAAATCGCTTAATCAAAGAGCCCTTCCATACACCCTGAACCCTCAACTGAAAACGCTGCGCCCTAAACAGTTCAGCTCCTCAGGGAGGCTAATGGTAGTACCGGACAGTCTTTGCCGTGCCTGCTTGTGCGATGCGCGTGTCTAAACACTGTTATTTTGACCTCAGTTCGTTGCCCCATACGTCAACCTTATGCCGTGGGTCGAAGAGTTAGGTGAAGCTTTAAGCCGGCTAAGGCAGGCAGCGGTTTAGATAATGGAAGAGAGAATGGAAACTACTATAAGTTATATACATAAATATGTTGGGATATGACGGGGCTGTAGAGGTTGGCTCAGGAGCAAGGACGTACATCCTCCAGAACACTTTGGCAAAGCGTGTCGGCGCTGTCGGAGCAGAGGCAATCATTTGCAAGTTCCTTATTGCAGAGGTTGCATGAGCTATAGTCTAAACTCCTTAGAGGGAGTTAGATTATTTTTTGAAATAGGGAGTTCGGGGTTTAGGATGTTGAGCCCGTTTTCAGCGGCTAGTAATCTGCAATATTTGAAGATGACGTTATATGGGAAGATGGCAAATTCGCACAGCAGTAGTGGCAGGCAGTAGACGCGGCCGGCTGCTGAAGTAGCAGACCCAGTAATGATGGCATTGCGCGTGCTCCTAATTACTGCTGCTACTGCTACTATTGCCCTTAATAATTCATACTGGGGGTAGTTAGTTGCAGCACCACTAGTGGCTAGTGGGGCAATGAGGGGGGGACAGGCAGCGATTGTCTTCGCCATCTTCGCAAAGACACAGACAAACAAATTAATGGCAACAGAAGAATAATGAGCTGTAAACGTAACAGACAACAAACAACAAAGGGAATGTGTCATGACAACGGCAACAATGCTGCAAGGATCACGAGAATCACATCAACAGTGATCTTAGCCACCTGAATGCCAGCACAGCGCAACCCCTCTCATTGTTGCAAAACTCCTCATGTGTTAGGCGTTCGTGGAGACCGGGGAGCTACTGCTTCATTTTCACAGTCACCTCAGCCGTTGCAGTGCTTTTGGTACCGAAGGATGCCAACGACTCGAGTGACGCTCGACTGGCAAGAGTGGGTCGGAGTAATGACCGGCTGTTAGTAGTCAATGGGCCTGAACGATGCGGAGAGGTTTTGGGGGTCATGTGCCGCCCCCCCCCCCAGGAAAAGCAGAAACGAAACTTGACCTGTCCTTGCCAGGAAAACAAAATGCGGAAGATTTTGCTATTGGGAAGGTTAGCTCCCACTGCTCCCCGATACCCTGATGAATACGTCATTCCGATCGACGTCAGTTTACACTCAATATGTTTTTTGGGGCATTGACACCGTAAGCCATGTCTCATAAGCCTTCAAATGAAAATACTATGCCCCTTCATGAAGTAGCCGTGCCCTTCGGAAAGTAGTCTTCCGAGATTTTGTCCTTCTGGGGGCCACAGATTCCACTGAGTCCACCTGTCTTGTCTGAATGAATGGTTGTGCCGCGTGCCAATTATGTGCGGTGAGTGCCGGTACTCATACTTGCCGACGCCGAGTCCTTCACTGTAAGTGTCTCTACACTGACTCGGCGTTTGCGATTAGGAGTGCATCCAGGCGTGTCTTGTCTGTCTAGAGCTGCGCAACCCTAACCTTGATCCTCCCGAGAGCCGTCCTCCCGAAAGCTCGTTAAGTGATCAGCTTGCTGAACCGGAGCGAAACCTGTTTGTGCGTAAATTGTGTAATGTATCTGGTTGAATGAACTCTTCAATTGTTCAACAAATACATGGATATGTCAATTTGAAACCAGCTGCAGCAGCTGTTCTTGTAGAAGAGGTAGCAGTGGTTGAAATCGTTGTTGTTGTGGCTGATCCTTCTGCGGCTGCTGTTGCTTGCTTGCTGTTGCTGCTACTGGTACTGCTGCTTATGCCAGCGGCGCGGCAGTGGTGGCGGCGGTTTATTGCTTGCTACGAATGAGAAGCCAAGGACACATTTGAGGTTGGTGGGCACGGACACGCTGATCACAGCTGCCCCTTGCCACACCACGTTGTCTTCTATGTCCTCGTGTTGGCAAGCCTGGGCGCTGGTGCTGCCGTGGGATTTCTCAGTAAGAGGGCCCTCAATTCGAGGCATGCCCTGTCGGCCTTGAGACTTGGACTGCTTTGCACAGTTCTCTTAAGGAGGCCGCGGACCATACATTGGGGTTATATAGGGATGATGGGAAAGAAAACGGAAACTACAAAGGATTATAAATTATAGGGATTTTATAGGGGCTATATTGGGATTATATAGGGTTTATATTGGGGTTGTCATATTGGGATAATGGAAAGAAAATGGAGACAACTATAGTATATTGTGATTATATACGACCCAGTCACCAAGGAGATATGCCGTCGTGAACTGGTTGCAGTCCTTATTAGCCACTCTGAGCTGCTTCCACAAAGACGCTGCGCGATTCTGGGTTGCTGTTAAGGAACGTAAGTTCAGTTATAATGGGTATATATGGTATAAGAGAGTTTCCCTAATATAGTAACTTAATTTAAGTCCGTTAAATCCCTATATTCCCCCAGTTTCCATTTCATTTTCCATTTTCTTTTCCATTTGATTCTCGATTATAGGGGGATAATATACCCTAAACCCTAATTAAGACCAGGATTGTACTGTCAACATGGAGTCCTACCTTTGGAGACCATGGCCGAGCATGCCTTTTCCCTGGTCAACATGGCTCCTTGACAAGAACCACCTGCATTAGGGGGGCCGGGTGGGATAACTCCAATAAAACCCTATATAACCCCAATATACTATAGTAGTTTCCATTTTCTTTTCCATTATCCCAATATAACAGCATTATAATTCCCCTCGTCAACATGGCCCCTTGACAAGGACCACCTGCATTACGGGTGCCTGTTTTTTTTTAGAGGGGAAGGGTGGGAAGGGTTTGGAGCTTCAGAGCCCTCTACGATAAACACGAAAGCAAGGTGTGGCTTTGGCGCCTCTACCTCTACCTTTTCGCTTTTCTCATACTGCACCGACTCATTGCTGAGCGCATCGATGCCCCTTGTGTTGCACATTTGTTTAGTAGAGGGATGG